GTTCTCGGCGGACACAACATCTTTGTTGGTATGTGGTGCTGAGGATCGAACCTGGGCCGCACGCATGCCAGGTGAGCGCGCTACCGCTTGAGCCACATCCCCAGCCCTAAAAATATATTTTTTAAATATTTATTTATTTATTTATCTGCAGACACAACATCTTTGTTGGTATGTGGTGCTGAGGATCGAACCCGGGCCACACACATGCCAGACAAGCGCGCTACYGCTTGAGCCACATCCCCAACCCCTAAAAATATTTTTTAAAAAAGAAAATTAAACAATAAAAGGAAGAGAGATGTTCAACCTGATTTAAACACGACATAACTTATCAAAACATTACATGTTGCCAGGTGGTCCACACCTTAATCAAGTGATTTGGGAGGCTAAGGCAGGAGGATTCCAAGTTCGAGGCCAGCCTGGACAATTTTGCAAGATCCTGAGCAACTTAATGAGATCTTGTATCAAAATTTAAAAAGGGGGCTAGGGCTGTAGCTCAGTAGTGGAGTGCTTCCCTCACACCTGTGAGGACTGGGTTCAATCCTCAGCACCACATAAAAAATAAATACATAAAGAAATATTGCATCCATTTACAACTAAAAAAATATTTTAAGAAATTTTTTTAAAGGATTGGGAGTTGGAATGCTGGCTCATGCCTATAATCCTAGTGACTTAGAATGCTGAAAAAGGAAGATCTCAAGTTCAAGGCCAGTCTCAGAACTTAGATTCTGTCTCAAAATAAAAAAAATAAAAAGGGCTGGGGTGATAAGAGTTTTGTGGTAAAGTACCCCTGAAGTTAAATCCTGAATATTGAAAAAGAATAAAAAGATTGGAGATATTGGACTGACCGGAATGCAGGTCAGTGGTAAAGTGCCCCTAGGTTCAATCCCTAATACCAAAAAAGAAAAAAAAATACATTTTTTAAAATTTAATTTGTACATATAAGCACTCGCCTAGCAGGTGTGAGGCACTGGGTTTGATTCTCAGTACCACATAAAAATAAAGGTATAGTGTTCATCCACAACTAAAACAAATTTTTAAAAATAAAATAAAAAATAAGGCTGGAGGTGTAGCTCATTGGTACAGTACATGCTTGACATGTGCAAAGTTCTGGGTTAAAATCTCAGTGCAAGCTGGGTACAGTGCTGCACGCCTGTAATCCCAGCAGCTTGGAAGTCTGAGACAGGAGGATCGTGAGTACAAAAYCAGCCTCACAAATTTAGTGAGGCCCTAAGAAACTCAGTGAGACGCTGTCTCTAAATAAAATGCAAAAAAGGGCTAGGGGGCTGGGACCGTAGCTCTGTGGCAGAGGGCTTGCCTATCATGTGAGGCACTCATTTGATTCTCAGCACCATATAAAAAATAAAAATAGCCATATATTTCATAAGGATATATACAAAATTAATAAAGGGGCTGAGGCTGTAGCTCAGTGGTACAGGGCTTGCTTTGCATGTATAGACACTGGGTTCAATCCTCAGCACCACATAAAAACAAATACATAAAGAAAGATATTATAAATGACTAAATAAATAAATATTGCTTTTCTCTTGAAATAAGAACACAGGTGTGGAAGAAGTCTTTTCACTGTATACTTTGTGTGTGTACTGGGGATTGAATTCAGGGCACTCAATCACTGAGTCACATCCCAAGTCCTATATTGTATTTTACTTGGATACAGGGTCTCACTAAGTTGCCACCGCTGGTCTCAAACTTTTGATTCTTTGGCTTTGGCTACTGAGTTGCTAGGATTATATGCTTGTGCCACAGTGCCAGGCTAGCAGGACAATTTTATTTGTCCTCACTACTTCAACACCTTTCTCACTCACCTTTAGGCTGCCTATTAACAGCAGCCAGGAGGTAGTGCCGAGCCTGGTCATAGTCTTGCAGATGAAAGAAGGCTACCCCGGCCCGATACAAGGCCTTTGCATTATCAGGCTGTCGTTCCAGGACTTTCTGACTGTATTCTCTCACTCGCTCGTAGTTCACAGGCTCCATCTGAAGGAGACAGGCTAATGGGCCAAATAAAATGTGGAAAGAAGGAGGAAGAAAGCCTTATTATACTGATTCCACTCCAACTCCAGGCAGTATCCAACAAAAATGATCTCAATGTTCATTCATTCAACAAATATGCATGTCTCTCATTTGCCACAAACTCTTCCAGGCACTGTAGATACAGCAGGGAATAAAAGGTTTATATGCTTGCAATCTTTGAGATCTGCCAATTGCATTCTTATAGCTAGCACTGGGTTAGGCCCAGTTATAAAACCAGAAAGAATATTCTTTACAATTTTATTTAAAACACTTCTTCATTTTATCTGTTCTACCTATGATTGTGTCCTGAATTCTGTATTTCACCACAGTTCTAGTACTTCCATTTCATTAAAAACAGTGATTGTGGGCTGGGGCTGAGTGGTAGCACTCTTGCCTAGCATGCATGAGACCCTGGGTTGAATTCCCAGCACAAACAAACAAATAATAACTTAMAAAAAAAAAAAAAAAAACCCACTATTTGTTATTAATTGTGAGGAAATAGTAGAAATAGCAAGCATTGTTCTTTGTGTTTGGTTTACTCTTATCTTCTTTAATCATCTCATCCACACTATTACGACTTAATGGATAAATAAATCAAGGCTCTTAGGATTTAAGCAACTTGTCCAAGATCTCACAGCTGCTAGGTGGAATGATTATGAAAATTGAATCAAATTCTAACTCCTAAATCAGCATCATTCTCAATGACAATGTATCCCTTCAGTATTGGACCATTTAATGGGACTTCGAAATATAAAATGCTTAGGAGGCAATATTCGTCTTTCTCTAATTTTTTTCCCCACTGTACTGGGGATCAAACCCAGGGTTTTATGCATGCTAGGTAAGCAAGCACTCTACCACTGAACCACATCCCTAGCTGCCCCATCCCTACTGGGTGAGGATTGAACCCAGAAGCCTTATGCACATGAGGCAAACACTCTACCAACTGAGCTATATCCTAGCCCCCCAGTTCCAGCCCCTTTCTGTAATGAAAAGAAGGAAGGGTGCACTGGCACATGTCTGTAATCCCAGAAACCCCGAGGCTGATGCAGGCTGATTGCCAAGTTGAAAACCAGCCTCAGCAACTAACCAAGGCCCTCAGCAACTTAGCGAAACCCTGTCTCAAAGAATAAAAAGGGTTGGGAATGTGATTTAGTGGAAAAGCCCTCCTGGATACAATCCCTGTTACCAAAATGGGAAGGAAAATATATTCCCGATTTCACACTTGTGGGAACTAAGTACACTATTACTAAATTGTGATGCAAAGATGGATCAAAATTCAAGGATGAGGAGGACATTAAAAGGCCTAGGCTTATGTATGTATCCCTCTACAACATCTCCACCAAGTGGTTGTATGATTTATATGTACATATTCACTCAGCAGTCAACTAATCCATTACCYTAGCATCATTAATTCATTTGACAACTAGCAACTGAACATGACCATGTACTAGATACTGAACTAGGAGCAAAGACAAAAGAAACAAAGTAGACATCTTGTTGATTAAATAAAGGTTATGTGTCCTAATCTGAAATTGGGAGGAATACAAAACACTTTTAAAATTTTAAGAAAATAAAACTGTTGGGGTAGACAGTGAATGAAGTTAGAGTGCTGCTCAATTACCAAAAGCTTCTCTAAGAAAATGACATTCCGGGACTGGGGATGTAGCTCAGTGGTAGAGCACTTGCCCAGCACATGCAAGGTTCTGATTTCAATCCCCAGTGCAGCAAGAAAAAAAGAAAGTGACTTTGGAGCCAAGATCTGAATGACAGGAATCATTCAAAAGACAGGGTATTTTAGTCCTGTAGAGAGAGCCCACAAGTTTGAAAGGGGAAATTTGCTTTAAACTTTCAGTATACGGAGGATCAGGTTGTGTTAAGTGCTGTGGGCAAGAGTCAAAATACGGATTTTCTCCTAAATGTGATGAGATGCCAGTGGAGATTTTAGTGACATCATCTGATTGCCTTATCTGTAAAATGAGGATAAGCATTAAGTACTTTGGAGAATTTTTGTAAATAAACTGCTCAAAATGTTATAGGAACTCATTAAATGAAAATTGTTAATTTTGTTTTGTTTTGTTTGTACCAGGGATTGAATCCAGGGGTGCTTAACCACTTAGCCACACCCTCAGCCCTTTTTTTATTTTTTTGAAATAGGGTCTCTCAAAGTTGCTTAGGTCACCAAGTTGCTAAAGATGGCTTTGAACTTGCCAGCCTACATCAACCTCTCAAGACAAACCAGGCCAATTCAATGCATCTTTATGGAACATCTACCAAGCATTCCCAGAGGCTTTAGAGATGCCTAAGTCACAGTCCCAAAAAATCACCTAAAAGTCAAGGCAACATATATTTAATCAGAGAGATGGGAAATAAACAGAGTAACATATGATATATTCAATGGTAATGAGTATTTACAAGTATCATATCTAAAATATCTTGTGTCTTTATTGTTTGATCAATTCACTAATGTATACTCTATTCTTTAATATGTACAATATTTAGGTCCAGAGGTATATCTCAGAGGTAAAGCACCTGCCTAGCATGTGCCAGCACCAAAAAAAAAAAAAAAAAAAAAAAGTACAGAATTCTGTAATAACAATTTAAGTTCTGACCAGGTGCAGCAGCATGCACCTGTAATTCCAGCAACTGGGCAGGCTGAGGCAGGAGGATCACAAGTTCCAGGCCAGTCTAAGCAACTTGGGGAGATCCTGTCTCAAACTAAAAAAATAAAAGGGACTGGATGTGTAGCTCAGTGATAAAGCACCCCTGGGTTCAATCTATGTACCAAACAAGAAAAAGAATTTAAGCTCTAAAATTAAGACTGCTTGGGTTGAATTTCAGCCCCACCACACTGTTTCCTTAAACTTTCTCAAAGGATTGTTGTGACACATAAGTTAGTATATGTAAACGGCTTAATTAGTATCTATCCATGTATTTAATAAATTCACCTTTAGGAGACCTCCCTAACCATCCTTTTTATTTATTTATTTTTTTAGTTGTAGTTGGAAAACAATACCTTTATTTTTTAATTTTTATGTGTTGCTGAGGATCGAACCCAGCGCCTCACACATGCTAGGCAAATACTCTACTGCTGAGCCACAACCCCAGCCCCTCCCTAACCATCTTTTTAAAATTGAACACCTTGGGCTGGGGATGTGGCTCAAGCGGTAGAGCGCTCGCCTGGCATGCGTGCGGCCCCGGTTCGATCCTCAGCACCACATATCAACAAAGATGTTGTGTCCACTGAGAACTAAATAAAAAATAAATATTAAAAATTTAAAAAAATAAAAATAAATAAATAAAAAACATTAAAAAAATCTCTCTCTCTCTTTAAAAAAAAATTAAATAAATAAATAAATAAATAAATAAATAAATAAAATTGAAACCTCCATACCTGTGCATGAGTACAGGGATCTCTCTCTCTTCCTTTTTTTTTTTTTTTCAGTACTGGGTATCAGACCTACATACTTGGCTAGGCGCAGTGGTGAGCACCTGTAATCCCAGCAGCTCCGGAAACTCAGACAGGAGGATCAAGAGTTCAAAGCCAGCCTCAGCAACGGTGAGGCACTAAGTAACTCAGTGAGACCCTGTCTCTAATAAAATACAAAAATTGGGCTGGGAGCATGGGAGGATTAGACAAACTCTAGATAGAGCAAAGGAAAGGGAGGGGAAAGGAGAGAGCATGGGGGTAGGAAAGACGGTGTAATGAGATAGACATTAAGTACATGTATGAAGATAGGAATGGTGTGACTAATTTGTGTATAACCAGAGATATGATAAATCGTGCTCTATATTTATAATATGAGTTATAATGCATTCTGCTGTCATATATAACAAATTAGAATTAAAAAAAACTTGGGCTGGGGATGTGGCTCAGTGGTTGAGTGCCCCTAAATTCAATTCCTGGTTAACCCCCCCCCAAAAAAAAAAAAACCAAAAACTTAAGTACTCTATTACTGAGCTACACTCCCAGCCTGTGTACAGGGATCTTTATGTGTTTTATTACACTGCTAATCCTCAACACCTTATAATTGTTGACTTAATTAAAACAAGCTACAGTAATTGCTATTATTGTTACTTGAGTTTAAGAATAGCATTGTTACTTGAGTTTAAGAATAGAATTAGGTTTTCAACAATCCATTGCTAATAAGTATTGTCAATTAGATTTTTAAAAATCCCTTTTTATGGGGAAAGGTGTGGCCAAGTAATACAGCCTGTGCCCTGGGTTCCATTTCCAGCACTGGGAGGGGGAAGGATCACTCTTTAAACAACAATTAGGAAACATAAAAACTGCTCCTAATAATTCGTGTGGCCTGAACTTGGATTGTTAAAACATTTTTAATACATTGCAAAATAAGTTAATTAGTTCTATGATTGTTTTGCTTGTCACAGAACAAACTTCAAAAGTCTTCTTTCTCTTAGTAAGTTAATCCTAGTCATACTATGGCATTCACCTCTTCACTCAAGGCCATCCAAGACTAAAGATACTAGTTATCTAAAGAAAYAATGCCAGTTTTTATCTATACTGTGTAAAATGTTCTAAAACTATCAGCATCACTGAAGAGCCTCTAAGACTCACACCCCAGGCCAACTGAATAGGAATCTCTGAGGGTAGGGGTCAGGAAATTGTGTTTTAACAAAGTCCAAGTGAGGTTTGAGAAGCCCTGCTCTTTAGCAACTCTGAGTGCTCTATACATCGGAAATAAATTTCAATTCGCGTCCGAATAACTGGAAGACAGTAGAAAAGATTGCTCAGGGATTTCCCGCCCCCAGGGTTCAGTTTTATGCTACTGCCTTGACGTTCTCTATCCACCCTTCAGCCTTGTTCTTACCAGCTAGATTGTTGTAGCAGTCTGTCTGGGTCGTGTGCAGGATATTTTCTTGTTCAGGTGTGAGAGCCGGGCCCTGAGGTCCTAGATTAGGTATCGGGGAGGGAAGACTTGGATCCAGACCCCGCAGCTGAAGGAGAGCTCGATGGTACCTACTCACTGCATCACGGTACTTCCCTTCCCGATAGCGCTGGTTCCCTTCCTCCTTGTATAGCTGAGCCTCCTGCAGGCGTTTCTCCATAACTCTTGGTCGCCCACTGCTCTAGTGGAACTGGGAAGTAAAAGAGCACTGAAACTCTGGGTGGGCTTGGGATCAAAACAATTGAYTTTGGTAGTCGACTTGATTACTCTTCTCCAAGAGAGACCCCGGGAGGGAAGCTTTGCTTGTTTCTAGCCACCCCCGACACCACTTCTCTGAAGTCTTTTTCAGTCTCCGGAAGTGCAGGAAATTAGTTAGGAAAAGAATGTGGGAATAATGAAGCCAAAGATTAAGTGATTTCCTAACGAATCAACCCTGGAGAAAAGAGACTCCGCGAAAAACTAAAGGCCGTGCTAGGGAAATGCGGCAGGCGTGAGAACGCCGGCAGAATCACTTCCCCCTTTCTTATGGACACACCCCCCCCTGACCTGGAAGAAGAAGGGAGTAGGCGGTGACAGTTGCTAAAACACAAGAGGGCTTTCCTCCATCCCGGCTCTTTATTTGTCCTATTCAACAGGCATTTGTCGATGTCTGTGCTGTGAGTTGAAGGTCCGAGGTGAATGMCATCCGTGCTCCCTACCCTCAGGCGAGGCTGAGGAGGCCTCACAAGCGGTCCAAATGCAAGGCACCATTCGCCCAGCCAGTTTATGGCGCCCAGCGGAGGCCAAGCCCGGAAGTCTCTTCCCGGGTTTCAGTTTAAGGGCGGGAGCTCGGAGAGGAAAGAGTCTACCTTCCTGACAGTTTGGTAGCTAAAGGGTCGCGCGCATTGCGCCACACCATCCAATCAGAAGCGGCTCCGGAAAAGTAATCCCGCAGAAACGACCCCGCCTACCTCAGCGGACCAACCCGAAAAAAAAAAGATCCCCCTGGTCTCTTCGCCAATTGGAAAAATCCGAACGATCACGGATGACCAATCAGAGCGGCAGACGACGATTCAAGCTGGCCAATGAGAGAGACATAAGGCGGGATCAGGGAGTCTGTTGCTAGGTAGAAGTTGAGACATTCACAGAAAAGGAAGGCCAAGGAACAGTGTATTTTCTGGTTCTGGAGAGCCTTTTGCCTACTAGTCACTAAAACAACTGCTTTCATGCTGCAACAGCTTCCTTTACAGCTTCTAGTTACTGTCAAGACGCTGTTGCATACACAAGAATAGGGAAGACAAGCCGCCGAGCAAGCAGTCCTAAGACGCTGTGGCGACTGGAAGTGAACCCGGAGTACAAGTGGTGAGAGAGTTGGAGGGGCGCATGATAGGGGAGTTCCGGGCGGCTGCGCAAACCCCTGGCTGAAGTACGGAAAGACGAGCGCGTACACTCTTCCTTCCTACGAGGCACTTGATCCGCAGCCAGCCTGGCCCTTCTCGGACCCTGCTGCGGCTGCGCGGTAAAACCATTGTCGCTGATTGGCCCGGGGAGCGAGAGGGGCGGGAGGAGGAGGAGGAAGGGAACTCCGTCGTCCTCGGCGCGCGCCCGCCCGCGGTAGGGAAACTGAAGGGCTGGAAGGGAAGCTGCTCCCAGTAGCGTTGTTTTGGGCTCCTTGAGGCAAAAGGGGGAGGGGAGGAAGAAGGCGACACAAACACTACGCAGTGGGGACTGCGCGGCCTCCGCCACTGCGTGCGTGCGTGCGCTCGCTCGCGCGGGCCCAGTGCTGGCGCGTGAGGCGGAGGCGGGCGGCGGCGGCGCCTGCGCGGTCGGGCTCGGTCGACGGTTCGCAGGGGAGGAGGCGGCGGGAGGCGGAGGAGGCGGCGGCGGCGATGGAGGTGAAGCGGCTGAAAGTGACCGAGCTGCGGTCTGAGCTGCAGCGGCGGGGCCTGGACTCGCGCGGCCTCAAGATGGATCTGGCGCAGCGGCTGCAGGAGGCGCTGGACGCCGAGATGCTCGAGGACGAGGCTGGCGGTGGCGGGGCCGGGCCCGGCGGGGCCTGCAAGGCGGAGCCTCGGCCTGTGGCCGCGCCGGGCGGCGGCCCGGGCGGAGACGAGGAGGACGAAGAAGAAGAGGAGGAGGAGGACGAGGAGGCGCTGCTTGAGGACGAGGACGAGGAACCACCCCCTGCTCAGGCCTCGGGCCAGGCCGCGCAGCCGCCGCCAGAGCCCCCGGAGGCGGCAGCCTTGGAGGCCGCGGCCGAGCCCGATGCTTCYGAGAAGCAGGCAGAGGCCACCGCCGGGTCAGGTGGCGTAAATGGTGGCGAAGAGCAGGGCACCGGCAAAGGGGAGGAAGACGAACCCGAGGAGCGGAGCGGGGATGAGACCCCAGGATCCGAGGCTCCGGGTGACAAAGCCCCAGAGGAACAGGGTGAGGAGCTAGCAGTGCCCGACTCCAACCTGCTGGGTGCACCCCTTATCCAGCACCTCGCCCCGCGTCGCGGGTTCAATCCCTTGTTCCCACTTACCTGAAAGTGCACGATTCCCAATGGGATAGTGGCTTTCATCCTCTGCCCACCTTTCTGAGTGGTTTGGCCACTTCTGTGGCTCCACTGTTTGCAGGAGGTTAGGTTCCTGCCTAACTTGGTTCCTTAGTACTAATGGATGAAAGAGTTATTTTGCCTCAGAACTGCTTGAGAGCAACCTGTGGAGCAGTCGCAGTGTTCCTTACCTTTTTCATAGCCAAGGAATTGGTGATTACGGGGACCAATTGACAGTTGCAGGCTTAGGCCTTTGAGCTGACTGTTGACTTTCTCACTGTAAAAATATTAAGCAATAAATTAAGTCATCAAAGTTCTCTTGTCAAAAGCATATGGAGGGCTGAGGTTGTGGCTCAGTGGTAGAGCACTTGCCTAGCATGTGTGAGGTACTGGGTTCAGTTGTCAGCACTGCATATAATTAAAGTCCATTGACAACTAAGAAAATATTTTTTAAAAAACATTGATAGATATTGAGCCACGCAGAGAATCTGGAAATTTAACCTTGCTCCTTGCCTGAGCAGTAGGGGACAGCCTCTRGTGTGAGCTTGTTGAGCTTAATAGTTAACTAGTGGAGAAAGTCTTAATCTGGTGCATTTGGAACAAGTAACTTGGCTAGGGCATTTATCTTGCCTGTATTCTTAGGACTAAATTTTAATCATCTTTCTGAGTCAGTGAATGGACATATTTGTAGATTTACTGTACAGGAACATTTCAGGTTCCAGACTTCCTTGATTGAAGTGATTGAGGTTCTGGTTGGTCCTTTGAGTAACCTGGTGGAAGAGACTTTGTAGAGACTCCACAGAGAGTTAGTGACCTTTCTCCTTTTGAAGTGATTGGATGGATAGTTGATTCATAACAGTATCTATCAGGGAGGGAAGCTAGAGCTCCRTCTTACTGTAAATTGGGTTGCCTTAGTTCTTTTTATAATGTTTTTTTAAGACTACTACCAAGTTAATTGGAACCTATTTTACAACAGTCACACACACCTTGCAGATTTTGTCTGATGTCCTGGAACAAAATCATATTATGTAACCTTTGACTTGTGTGTACTCAAATAGCACATAAAAAACATTGAAGGATAAAAGACTGCTTTAAAAAAAAAATTAAAAGCTTTCTTAGGTTAGAAATGTAGCTCAGTGGTAAAGGGCTTGCCTGGTATGGAGGAAGCTCTGGRTTTGATCCCCAGCATCACAAAATAAATAAAAACCTTCTTAGTGTTGCAAAATATAAAAGTGTAAGGAAAAACTGTCCCCGACCCTTTTGTAAAGAATGTTGCTAAATATATGGCAACACCTTTCTGCCCCAAATTACCTGCAGTAAAGATGCAGTATTATTTATGGGTATCTTATGACTTGATGGTTTGCTCTTGCAACTTTCAGTTAAAAAAAAAAAATCCCTGATTAAGAATATAGTTATGTATCATGTACTTGAGTTTATTTGCTGTATAAACCAGCCATGAGCAGCTATGYACTTTAATGCAGGAAAAGCAGACTCTAAAATTTGAGCTATTTATATCATGAATCTGGGAAAATATTAAAAATACCAAGTTCCTACCTTCAAATCTGGTAAGAATTGAAATAAAATTAACCTGAAGGTTTGTCAAAGATCTAGGAGTATTTTGTGTGTGTGTGTGTGTGTGTGTGTGTGTGTGTGTGTGTGTGTGTGGTATTAACTGGGAAATCTGCAAGTTTGACCTGATTTAAGCAGATAAATTTAGAATGCAAAAATTGTCCAATTTTTATCTACTGCTTGACTGTAATTAGTCCATAATGTCCTCCCTCCCCCACCATAAAATTCCAGCCAATGACAGAAAGATAATGTTTGGAAATAAAATGTTCTATGGATGCAGTGGTAATAACCTGACTATTTTGATTAGACAGATCCTCAGATCCCCTTTAGTTTCTATTGGTCTGAGCTTATTCTACACTCCAGTATGAAAACTGCTGATTTTCTTTCCCTCCTTTTTGTAGGAGATGATCAAGATAGTGAAAAGTCAAAACCAGCAGGCTCAGATGGTGAGCGGCGGGGGGTAAAGAGACAGCGGGATGAGAAGGATGAACATGGCCGAGCTTACTATGAATTCCGAGAGGAGGCTTACCACAGCCGGTGAGGGAAACAGTCCCTTTCCTTGAAGGGAGTGTCTACTCTAATTTTGGTGTACCTGGTGTACCTGGTGTTGATTGGAGAGTCTGGAAGGAGGGGTGGATTAAAAATGGAATAGGTTTTTGTAGGCATAAGTTTTTAGATTGAATCTACCATAGAAGCTCCTATTGCCCTTTCTCATTTATTGAAAGAAGCTGTCTGCTGGGATTTGATATTCACTGAGAGTTTAAAATGGACATAATGTCCTGCAGACACCCCTCAAAGAACAGGACTTTGGTTACATTGTATTTGCTTTTCTCTCATGTATATAGCTCAAAGTCTCCACCACCTCCAGAAGAAGAGGCAAAAGATGAGGAAGAAGATCAAACTCTYGTGAACCTGGACACATGTATGTCTAAGGCAGATAGATTGGGGTTTTTAACTTATCTCCTAAAAATGATTCTGGCTATTAAAATTTCATGGCTAACAAATTCCAAGAAACTTTGTGTCCATTTGTAACAACTGGGCATATTTGTACACTTTTGGTGGATCTCATGTGTTAACCATTATAGTAAACCAATTCCATCTTTCTTTCTTAATAGATACCTCGGATCTCCATTTTCAAGTAAGCAAAGACCGTTATGGAGGGCAGCCACTCTTCTCAGAGAAGTTCCCCACCCTTTGGTCTGGGGCAAGGAGTACTTATGGAGTAACAAAGGGAAAAGTCTGCTTTGAAGCCAAGGTACTAGCTCATGAAGATCATTCATTTATTAAACTGTCTAGTGTCAAATAGGTTGTCCTCCATGGTTTTGGTTTAAGTTCAGTGAAAGTTATTCCAATATTCAATTTTAATAGTTGTCATTTTTTGTTTGTATAAAAATTGTGTTTTAAGGTGGGCATGGTGGCACATATCTATTATCCCAGTGACTTGGGAGGCTGAGGCAGAAGGATCACAAGATCAGCCTCAGCAACTTATTGAGACCCTGTATCAAAAAGGAATGGGAGGGGCTGGGGATGTGGCTCAAGCGGTAGCGCGCTCGCCTGGCATGCGTGCGGCCCGGGTTCGATCCTCAGCACCACATACCAACAAAGATGTTGTGTCCGCCGAGAACTAAAAAAAWAAATAAATATTAAAAATTCTCTCTCTCAAAAAAAAAAAAAAAAAGGAATGGGAATGTGGCTCAATGGTAGAGTGCCCTGGGTTCAGTTCCTAATACCACCAAAAGAGATGTGTATTTCTAACTCAGACTTTGCTCCTGAGTTAGAGTATGTAAGAATTCCTTTTCTGACTTAACCAGGTAACCCAGAATCTCCCAATGAAAGA